AAGCAGCAGCCTAGATTGTGAAAAACTATTTGGCTGGTGGGGGGGGGGGGGGGGGGGGGGGGGCGGGGCGCGGCAGCTTGTTTGGTTTACTTCTTGAAAGAATCCACTAAATTCAGACGCCCCACTTAACTTCCCCAGCACTACTGTTTCAACAAATAGGCAAAGCAAGTTAACAACTAAGCTAATCTTTAAGGAAGAAGAAAGGAAGGTGGTACTAAAATTAGGAATCAAATGCTGTCTGGTACTGGATAAGAACAGACTTGACTTTAATGATGAACAAAGAAACAAATCATCTGTGATGTGGGGGGAAAAAGAACTGTAATCAATGGAAGGGAGTCAACAAATTAATCATAGCAGTATCTGCCTGACCAAGTTACAGTGTGAGCAAGGAACAGACTGGCTGACAATAAGGCTGCCATTTCGCTTAAGGACTAAATACTCTAAACTTGGCTCCTGGTGTGCATATAGTCAGTGTGGACACCTCCCCAAGCTAACCCCAAGAAAAGCCAATTTCTGCATCTGGTACTCGACTAACTGAAGTTGAGTACCAGTTTGTTTTCACGAGAACAGTTTGTTTTCCATGCTGGCTGTTTTGGAAATCTTGAGTCACAGCACACCCACACTGTGTATTACTCTGTATGGGAAACTAGTAAGTTCAAAAGTAAGTGTGTCTTTTGCTCAATTTACAACCTAGTTCCTATAACTGCAGTCTAAAACAATGGTTCTTAACCTTTGGGTCATGACTCCTTGGGGGTTGAGTATTAGAAAAAGTCTGCATATCAAATATTTGCATTATGATTTATAACAGTAGCATAAGTACAGTTATGAAGTAAAAATGAAATAATTTTATGGTTGGGGCTCACCATAAAGGGTCATGGCATCAGGAAGATTGAGAGCTACTAGTCTAAAGGAACACACACCAAGTTGGGTACCATCTGCCTCCTCTTTACTTTTCTCCACTCACTCACTCACTCTTTCAGACTTCTTTGAATGTTCTGCCAATTTATCACTTGTTTATTTTATCTATTTATTGTTTATGAGTATTCATTCATGCAGTGGGGATCAAAGCCAGGGTCTTTTAATTATTTCAACTATGTTTGGTTTCTTGAACAATTTCCAACTGATTAAACAAAAGCAAGCAACCCCTTTCCCCACTCCATGGTGGTGGTGGTGGTGGTGGTGGTATTTACAAGGCTAGGTAATTCAGCAAGCATTTACTTGTCTTAAGATGCCACAGAGAAAGCTGGGCAGTGGTGGTATGTGCCTTTAATCCCAGCACTCAGGAGGCTGATTTACAGAGTGAGTTTCACAATAGCCAGGGCTACATAGAGAAACCATGGGGGTAGGGGGATGCCACAGAGAGAGCTGGTTGGTCATGTTTGATCTGACTGGTGTCCTTATTGTGGCCACACTCAACTCTCTGGAGGGTATCCACTAGTCAGTATGTAGTCTGCTTTTCTCACCACATCTCTCCTGCTCGTGTCCTCACACTTACGGAGTAGCTATTCACACTTGCAGCACCTCTAAACACTCCCTGCTTCAAGCTGCTGGAATCCCCGTGTCACCTAATCCACTGGCCCCTTCCTGACCGCATCACCTGTGTGCTAAGGCTGTGTTTCAATGCTGCCTCCAACAAGAGATCAATGCCTCTGGACTCAGTGCACTCCTGGATAATTTACCCACAACTTTCCTACCCCAGGTCCCGGAGTTGTAATTGTAAAGGTGATGGAACCCTTGCATATTTGGTTTACTAATGATTTGTGCTGCTTGTCTGACTTTAATCCAGCTCAAGCATTCCTGTCAGCTGGACTGATTTCCCAAGTACTTAACTCCTAGGAGTAGACATTTCAAAACAGCTGCACTTTCCTCCAGAGTTTTATTTAGTATCCTACTCTGGATATACACACCTAATGTAGTGAAAAGGGGCCAGCCAAAGAAACCCACCCTAGCCCTGAAACCAGAGCTAGTCAAAGAAACCCACCCTGAATCTGAGACCTGAGCCAGTGAATGAAACACTTTAGTCCTGAACCCAGAACCTAAGAAACACATCCTGACCCTGAAACCAGTGCCAAAGAAACACACTTTGTCCCTAGAATTAGAGCCAGTGGAAGAAATACACCCTGGCCCTAAAATTAGAGCCAAAAGCTAAAAAGAACAGCGAGTATGCCACCGTCTTGTGTGCAGCCATGTGTGCTGGCATGTACATGGGGGTGTGCTGTGGTCTGCAACTGGAGTGAATAAAATGTGTCTTACCTGGGGGGGGGGGGGGGGACTAGGGCATTGGACCCCCTAGGACTGGAGTTATAGATGGTTTTGATCTGCTACGTGGGTTCTGGGAATCAAACTCAGGTCCTCTGGAAGAGCAGCCAGTACTTTTAACTGGGGAAACATCACTCTAGCCCCATTAGTAGATTTTTCAAACAAAAAGTTCAACAAACTGTCCACTTATTTACTTAAAAAAAAAAAAAAAAAAAAAGAACCAGTGAAAGAAACACAGTTTGGCCCTGAAATCAGGGCCATGTCTGCCCCTGACCAACTGACCAACAAAACCAACCAATTCTGAGCAGGAAAACTAAGCAATCCTTGAGCAGGAAGTCTTCTCTCTGGAGACACTCCACCCCTAAAAAGCCCGATGTAAGCCCCTCTGCCTGTTCAGTTGTGGACTGTGCTTTCCCACCCTGGCAGGGAGAACCACTCTCCTGGACTCCTCCTTCCCAAATAAATCTCTTTCTCAAAAGAGTCTTGGGTGAAGTTCTTCATTCACCAGCACAGAAAAAAAGAACCTTGCTGAGATGTCCCTTAGGGGACTGAGCAAGGCGGAGCAGAAAAAATAACTTTTTGCTGGAGCTGGGAAGAAGCAACATCTTGAGCCAGAGAGAAGCCCCCTTAAGGGGGGGGGGGGAAGCAAAGCTCTCTAGGAGAGGAGCAGGATTTGCTATATCCTGCGGGGAGACCATCCCCCACTGCACCGTACACCAGCTTCAGATATTGCCTGACTTCTGAGACAGTCAGGACACCTCTCCCTCCGGGACTAAGCTGCTCGATTGCAGCTTCAGCCTCCAGAGCTGTCCTATTGCAGATCCAGGTTCTAGGTACAGCCTGGCTTCCCGACAATTAAGGATCCCTCTCCCTCCAGAGCTGTAACTCTCGCACCTAGTTTTACTCCTCTCTGATGAGACCTTCCCATGGAAACTTTCTAAACTCTGTTCCATATTGATATATTCCTTTTTATTCAGTCGTGGAATACATGCTGTCCCCCCAATACTCTTTCTTGTTTTGAGACATGGCCTCACTCTGTAGTGCTGGCTGACCTAGAATATATAGTCTGAATTAACTTAAAATTGACAGCAATCTCCTGCCTCACTCTCCTGGGATCATAGGCATATACCACGTTTGGCCTAAAACACAAGGCCCACCTCCAGTACAAGAGACTGAACCCAGTTAAGTACTCTACCACTGAACTTATAACCCCAGCGTACTTACTAACTACAAAAACAAAATAGTAGTTTTACACTGTAATACCACTTTGACCAAGTGCTGCTATGAACATTACCAGTTATAAAATATATTGAATCAAGTATCTCCTGATAGGATGCCCTTCACAGGGCACATTAGTTCTGTGGAGCTCTTGCTAAATTGCCCAACCTACACTAGATCATGAAGAAACACCAGCAAGACCAAAATCAGTGATCATTCTATAAACATTCAAATATTTAAGTCACAAAGATTAAAGAAAGACTGAGAAGCTGTTACAGATTGAAGCAGCTGGAGAGATACAACTAAATGCAACATGTGACCCTGAACTGGATTGTGGTCCAGAAGGTTATCTGAAGACTGCATCCATTAACATTACTGCATCACGTTACTCTGGATTTCTGTCTCCTTCTGTGATGATGTTAAATGTAACCTTTGTGGAAGTGGGGAAGAGTCTAACAGGTTTACTATGCCTCTTATTTTGCGTTTTCTTCTCAGGTAGGGGGCATCTCATTTCAGTACCAAAATCTATGGCTCTATCTCTGTGTGCTGCAGAAATGGCTTTTAAACAAGGGGCCTCAAGGATATCCTTTGTGTCTTAGAGGGTCATCTGATCCAACTGACTTCAGAACGCAAATAAAGGTCTTCAATTCTTTTTTAAAGACACAATTTATTTTTATTTTATGTTCACTGGTGTTTTGCCTGCATGTGTATCTGTGTGAGGATGTCAGAAGCCCTGGAACGGGAGTTACAGACAGGGATGAGTTGCCATGTGGGAGCTGGGAATTAAACCCTGGTCACCTGGAAGAGCAGCCAATGCTGTCTCCAGCCCCCTAGGTCTTCAATTCTTTTGTGCTGTCATCTACTTTCATTCTCACCTTGGACATCTTAATCTCTTCTCCAGGTTCACACTCCTCCCTTTCTCTTCTAGATGTGTTCCAACCCTGCCCTGCCCTCCCTCCCTCCCTCCCTCCCACAGCCCCATTCTCCCCTGATATCTACCAGCAGCTGTGTCTTCCTTCAGCTGCCAGTCTTGCAGGGCTGTACCATATTATTGCCTCTCATTTCCTTAACATGCTTGAGAGTTTTGGAAAGGGCTCACTCATAGTCCTAGCTCTACCTTCACTCGTGTACAACAGCAATTTACACATGGAATGACCTCATGATTTTGTTAGCTGTAAGAACACTCTTCAAGTGTTCATCAGCTGGACATGGTGTTCCAAGGCATAGATGCTACTCCTGCATGACCAGGGAGCCTCATATTAGGTTTCACAGGCAGACTGCTTTATTAACCGTAGCCAACTGTTAATACTCAGTTAAGAATATCCCTTGTGACAAGCTACTCATTTGACTGGAAAATGAAGTCACCCGTTCCTCACTGCTTACTCTGTGGGTGAGAGGGAAAGGTCTTAGTTGTTTCCTTGGGACTTTTGAGAAATGACCTATGAAATAGCTGCATATAGCAGGGGCTGGAGGTGGAGCTGAACAGAGTCTGGGCATGGTAGTTTCTTGGAATTCAGGCTCTGAGGTAGAAAAGCAGAGCTTAAGTCCCTTGGGAGGTGGGCAAGTGACTCCTGAAATAGGAAGGTTCCCTAGAATCCACAAACAATCAAATAAGAACTTTATTTAGCTCTTTCGGGTCTTGGCTCCAGGATGACTAAGAAAAGAAGAAACAACGGTCAGGCCAAAAAGGGCCGCGGCCATGTGCAGCCGATCCGCTGCACGAACTGCGCCCGGTGCGTGCCCAAAGACAAGGCCATTAAGAAGTTCGTCATTCGGAACATCGTCGAGGCCGCCGCCGCTGTCAGGGACATCTCCGAAGCTAGTGTCTTCGACGCCTTGCTTCCCAAGCTCTATGTCAAGCTGCATTACTGCGTGAGCTGTGCTATTCATAGCAAGGTAGTCAGGAATCGATCCCATGAAGCCCGCAAGGACAGAACACCCCCACCACGATTTAGACCTGCTGGTGCTGCACCACGACCTCCACCAAAGCCCATGTAAAGAGATGGCTTCATAAAGACAGAAGAAAAAACACCTTGGAAAAATAAAATGGGACTTAACTTTAAAAAAAAAAAAAAGAACTTTATTTAGCTTTAGGAATTATTTTTAAATTATTTAAGTTATTTGATCAATGTAAACAGAACCAGTATCTCAAAATTCATACCTAATGCTTGTGTCACTGCTAATGTTTGTATCATGGGTAACAGTATTAGAACAAGACTTCCTTCCTACTCAGGGTAGGAAGGTAGGGATGTTCTTCAACCTTAAGTTACGGTAGTGTCCAGTATAACCTCTCATGGTGGCACCCAGGCTATAAGACTTTCCCCTTAAAATGAAGTTGGGAGGTCAAGGAAAAAGGCAGAGGAAGAATTCAAGGCCAGCCTGGTAACAGAGTGATGCCTGAGGGTATATGGGTACCTAAAGTGGAAAGTAAGTTCTCAGGAAACTAAACTCTGGTGCACCTACCTATCTCAGGACCTCCTCAAACCAGAAACCCTCTCTGCCTTAAACCTGACATCCTTGTAACACTCCTCTTGGTGCAGCTGCCACACAGGCCATACTGTAACCAATGTGCACAGAGATAGCGCCACACCAGCACCAAGCAGAGGGAAGATGGAATAAGGCCACTCACTGCCCACTGGGCAAAAGCAGGAAGAGATGCACCTCATTTTTATGAACTAGCAATTTCAAAATAAATATTTAAAATAAAACAGAGTAGGGGGTGGGGGTGAGCGCCTTTAGTCCTAGCCGTTGGGAGGTAGAGACAGGCAGAACTTTGTATGTTCAAAATCAGTCTTGTCTACACAGCAAGTTCCAGGACAGTTAGACCCACATAGTAAGACCCTGTTTAAAACAGAAGGGTTGGGGTGATCAAAGTTCTTATATAGAAAGATATGAAGATAAGACAAAGACGTGCCGGGTGGTGGTGGCATACACCTTTAAGTTCGAGGCCAGCCTGGGCTATAGAGTGAGTTCCAGGAAAGGCGCAAAGCTACACAGAGAAACCCTGTCTCGAAAAACCAAAAAAAAAAAAAAAGACCAAGATGTAAAATGGGATCTAAACATACACTAAGGTCAGCAAGATGGCTCATCAGGTAGAGAAGCTTGTCCACAGAACTGAAAACCTAAGTTGGAGCTCTGAATCCCACAATGTAGCAGAAGAACCAATTTCTGAGGCTTGTCCTCTGATCTTCATGGCATGTGTCTTCTCTCTCTCTCTCTCTGTCTCACACACACACACACACACACACACACACACACACACACACACACACACACACACACAAAATTGGTAGATGGTCATAAGTGGTTTATTCATGCTTCTGGTTATTTCCTGATGGGCTATTACACATAAAACTTCTATAAATATTCACAAGTCACTGTACAGAAATATATTTCATGTTTTCTTGGGTAAATTCTTAGGAGTAGCATGGTTAGATCATATGGTTGATATAAATTCAGCTCTTTAAGAACCTGCTTGTCGGGGCTGGAGAGATGGCTCAGTCAGGGGTTAAGAGCACTGCCTGTGCTTCCAAAGGTCCTGAGTTTAATTCCCATGGTATCTCACAACCACCTATAATGAGATCTGGTGCCCTCTTCTGGCCTGCAGGCAGACATTCAGGCAAAACACTATATATAAAATAAACAAATCTTTAAAAAAAAGAATCTGCCTGTTTACTAAAGTGGCTGTACCATCTCATACTTCCAGCAGCTCCATTTGTTCTGTACTCAACATTTGCCATAGTAAATATGTCCCATATTAAACATTCTAAAGCTCTCTGGTAACTAATTTTTCTTTGGTGCCCGATTTCATTCATTCATAGTTTTCTATTCTCCTTGTCAATCAAACTACTAGTTACAGTTTTGACTCTCCTCAGATAAATTAATCACAATTTAAGTTCAGGGTTGAGGGCTATATCTTGCAGAAGATCACAGGAACCTTGAGATTAAACTCTAATTCAGAGTTATTAGGCATATTCTTCTATTTATCTAATCATGAAAAATATTTTCTGATCATCCTTAACTACAAGGAGAGAAATGGACACTGTGGTGGTCTGAATGAGAACCCCCTCCTCCCCAAGACTCATATATTTGCATGCCTGGTATCTAGTTAGTGGAACTGTTTGGTAAGGATTAGAATGTATGACCTTGTTGGAGGAAGTGTTTCACTGGGGGTGGTCTTTAAGCCTTCAAAAAACTCCTAGTGTTCTTCTCCGCTCCTGCCTGGGGATCAAGATGTGAGCTCTTAGCTGCTGCGCCAGCCACCTGTCACCATGCTTATATTATAGAGTCTATAATTCCACCATTATAGACTCTAACTTTCTAGTATCATGAGTTCAATTAAACACTTTCTTTTGTAAGTTGACTTGACTGTGGTGTTTTGTCACAGCAACAGTGAAGCAATCAAGACAGAGATATAACTCAGCAGAGATACTAGCACAAGACAGTGCTCTAGGGGGCAGCATATTTCTTTTAAGAGAAATATGGCTCTTGGTCATCTTTAATCAATCCAAGGAATCACTTGGTTACAGCTCCTTATTCTTAGTTACACACTAAATGTGGGCATTTTATCACATTCAGCAATCATTAAGGGCTAGATGAGAGGAAGGTGGCAGCAGTTTGCTTTAACTTTGCTTTCTATTCAATCTTCAATAAATACAAGTATTTACTGAGGTCTATCTTTGGAAGGTTTACATTCTACTGAGGAAGAAACATAATTACATATATTACACAAGAAAGAGAGAGCAAAGTAAGAGGTTAGGGTTTCATTTCAAATAGCAAACTGGGTGAAAAGGTGAGCAAAGACTTGAAAAAAGATCCTATGTAAACCACAGAGCGAGCTAGGAAGATCCTTAAGAAAGGGAAGAGTCAAATGCAAAGGCTTAAGGCAGGACTGTGAGGGGATCAAGAAGGAAAATGGCTAACGTGTGTGTGTGTGTGTGTGTGTGTGTGTGTGTGTGTGTGTGTGTGTGTGTGTGTGTGTGTGTGTTAGGGCACTAAGCTCAGACCTCAGTGTAATAGGTCAGGGGCAGCATTATTTTTCTGTAAATGTGAGGTGTTAACCTTCAGGTTTACAGGACACATACAAGTTCTATGTCATATACTTGGTTTTGTTTGTTCACTCAAGACAGATTCTCACACAATCCTGGCTGTCCTGTAACTCTAGGCTGGCTTCAAACTCACAAAGATCTGCCTGTCTCCGGAGTGCTGGGAAAATAGGCTGGATTACCAATTCTTAAAAATGTAAAAACTACCCTTTGTTCAAAAATCTTAGAAAAACAGACTTAGACAAGATATGGCTGCAAAAAATAATTTAGGTCCATGTAAGGACTTAATTTAAAATAAATATTATTTGACTTACTTTGAAAAGATCACAGTGGTTATAAACACTGTAGAAATCCTAAGCAAAGTGAAGGATGGCTCACACCAAAGATAGGATTAGATTCTGGGTTTAAAAATTATTTTTTTCATTGGGACTGGAGAGATGGCTCAGTGGTTCAGAACATTGGCTGCTCTTCCAAAGGACCAGGGTTCAAATCCCAGCACCCATCTGTCTGTAACTACAATTCCAGGGGATCCGACACCCTCACACAGATAGACATGCAGGCAAAACATCAATGGACATACAATAAAAATCAATAACTCATTAAAAAATTAAAAACAAATTTAAAAAACAACACCTTAAAAATTATTTTCTTCAAACAACTGATTTGGGAAGAATAATGGGTGCTTTTTGACCTGTGCCTACAAGAATGGAGTCATGCACAAGGACTGTGAAGACTAAACAGAAGAGGGTTGGGAGCATGCTTTCTTTCAGAGTGGAGTCTCTATTTGTCAAGTCTCCAAAAGATTCTGTTATGATCTGAATAAAACTGTTTTAGACTCAAAAATGGCATAGGGAAGAAATGGCATCTGAAGTGCATCTCACCTCCTTATCCGTAACATGGATCCAGCATTCTGTGCTTCTGAATAGGGTTCAGCATACTTCCTGATTAATGTATTCCTGGACAGTCTGTACTTTCTGTTATAGTGAATGAGACAGACAGATGACACTGATATGGACATAGACACACTCTTTTCTGCAGCTAACATTTAAAGAAGGCTGGATAGTCTACTCATTTAGCAGTCCTGATTTTTCCTATCATCTCTTGCATTTTGTTTGTTTATTTGTTTGAGACAGAGTCTCTCTATATAGCCTGGAACTCCCTAGGTAGACCAGGCTGGCCTCAAACACAGAGCCTCCCCCAAGTGCTAGTATAAAAAGGTGTCTGTTACCATGCCTACACTTCTGGCCTAGCTCTTCTTGCATTTTGTCAACATTTATTAATAGCTTTCTATTGTTAATCCCCCATCTTTATCTGCAATAGTTATATTTTAAACTGGTACACCATTTCTTAGTTTGTTGCCCAGAATCTCTAGTACAATGTTAAAAGGTTACATCCAGTTCCCTAGTTTAATGCCTCAGCATTATGCTAACAGTATGTTGAGCTCACAGTTTTAATACTCAGAACTTATCTTGCCTCTACTTTCATGTCTCAGTTCTCTCCTTTACCACGTGCACTAGTTGCCATTTCCTTTTAGATACTGACAAATCAGTCAGAAATCTCATGTGTTTTCTCCTCTACTCTTAATCTGTTTCAGAATAAGTAATTTACATGGAATTATTCTTCAGAAATCCCTGTTTGTTTTATACTCATAGCAGGTCTATTCTTGTGTAATGCTAGCTTATAGTGGGAGTGCTCAACCTCCACACTAACGACATTTCGCTGGGTAATTCTTTGTTGCTGTTCTAATTTTAGCATCCCTGGCTTTACTAACTGAATGCCAGTAGCAGCCTTCCCCTAGTGCTATCACCAAAAATGATCCGGGTATTCCAACTATTCTCTAAGAGAACAAAACAGCTCGTGAATCAAAATAGTCATTGATTCAGTCAAGTAGAGGATATGGACTCCATCACTTTCTTCTACTACTTCCATCAAACCACTCTTAGTTAACATTTTCTCTGGAACCTTATCTAAATTAGGATTGTCCCCCATCTCTGTAGCCAGTTTCCTCCCTGCCATAATTCCC